TTCCTAGTAGCATGGCACTTGTTTCTAGTAGCTTCTTGAAACCACTTTGAAACACCTCGTGTTTTTGCTTTTCACGGTGCGTCGCGTCGCTGAGGACGAGACATCCCATCTGCAGCTCGTTGCCGCAGCCAGATCGCCCTTCGGCGAAACCGAGCACAAAGTCGAACAAAAAGCGAATAAGCGTTTTTTTGCTACTAGGAGTGCCACGCTAGTAGTAACAAGTGCCTTACTAGTAGTAACAAGAAGCTACTAGGAGCAAAGGGCATCGCTACTAGGAACAAGGACACTACTAGGGGCTCCTGGCCTTACTACTAGGGACACGCAGCTACTAGGAGCAAAGAAAAAGAACTCAAAGAAAAGTAGTTTATCTCTGACCGGCGGCGAAGTCGCGGCGTAGGGTACACGGCATAGCAGTGCAACAAAGAAACGTAGTTTAAACCAAAACAAGTTGAAAGTTTTTATCGGTGTTGTTCTTTACTGTGTTTGACCTGTCCTTTTTTATGTGAGTGTTCCTTTCGTTCTTTGTCTCCCACCTTAACACATGTTTAGATCTTCCTTTTCCTTCCTTTCGTCGTAAAGAATGCATTGTTTGTTTCTGAAGATATGTGTCGGGTAGGATGGTAGCGATGTCTATTCTTCGGGAGCACAGCAGATAGAGAGCGCTTCCTTGTGGCGACAGCAGTACCTCGAGACTTAGGAGGTCTCAGTCTCTTCTTTAGACCTTTCTTCCTTTGTTTTTTGACTATATCGACCAGATATGTTTCCTTCTTTCTTCATGTTCTTTCTTTCAAAAAATCAAAACAGTTTCATCCACAAAAAGAAGTCCAGACGGATTGTCGAGGTTTCAGGGACCCGAGACGAGAAGAGGAAGAACACTTGTCCTTGGTGTTTTTTATCCCTTTCTGTGCTGCGGTCGTTTTTGGACCTTTATAGAGCTTAGGAGATGTACAACATTCACATCAACATCTCACATCACTTCTTTTTGCTGCGCATTCCGTTCTGCTCACATCTCCCTTTTCGAACGATTCTCCCCACCCGCCTCCGGGTTTCGTTCCTTTTTAAAGGACAGGGGTGTTAGCTGGGTCTTTGGACCTGGGTTTGAACTATGCTTTCCGAATCCGAAGGCGTCGTGAAGGAGTCAAAAACCTTCAGTTTGTTCGACAGACGTCCCAAACGCAAGCGTTCGCCCAAGTGCTTGCCACTCCAGTGCCCGATTCGTGGAGGTCGTGATAGGCTCCAACCTAATAGCACAAGGAGTAACTTCTGGAAGCAACAGACTTTCTTAAAGAACATTTTTTCTGGGTGGCAGGTTTGGAACGCGTGTGCGGAGAAATCATCTTGTTTTTTTTGTTTCTGGCCGAAAACTGGCCTAGACCCTCCTTCAGGTGTCTCCACAAGCAAGAGTTCTGGACCGCGGCGAATTGAGAGTTTCCTGTTGCCAGTCTGCTAATCGCTAAGGAGGCCATCGCTATTAAGGTTCTTAGACCGTTCTTCCTTTTCTTTTTTTTCTTTGTTTCTACTGGCGATGGCCTCTCCCGTAGTAGCGATGGCCTCCTCCACCTAATAGCGTCCTTGCTCCTAGTAGCTGTTCCTAGTAGTAATGCCAGGAGCCCCTAGTAGCGATGCCCTTTGCTCCGTTCGTAGCGTCCTTGTTCTGGAGTTGTGAAACAAAGATTGGACACCTCAGCACGACAGAAGTGCATGGCAGGAGGCTCCATCGGATTCGCACTGGACTTAGAGATGTGAGTTGTCTATCTCAAAAGCGTTCTTATCAGGGAGTGCAGCCTAGCAAAGCACGCATCAGCATGTCCGAATAGTTCTACAGTATCCGAAAAGCCCTCACATACCCTGCAATAGTTTAATTCTAATTATTAGCTTATTGTGTCTACTAGCTTCTTGTTACTACTAGTAAGGCACTTGTTACTAGTAGCGATGCACTTGTTCCTAGTAGCGAACATTGTTTCTACTTCACATACCCTGCAATTGCCAAAAAAGACATGGACATTGTGCACCCATAGGTGACACCATCACCGTCACTCTCAGTGTCCTGCCCCAACCCAGACTGTTCACATCCGTAGAATCGATGGCCTCTAAGACTTTTAAGAGCGATGGCCTCCACCTTTTCTAGCGTCCTAGTAGCTCGATGCTCAATCAGTAATTTCGGCTGAATCTTGGATGTTCTTTGCTCTTCCCCGAAGTGTAGTCTAGTTGTGTGCTGATACTGGGCAAAGACATGGTATCACTTTCGCGTCAAGGCGCTCCTCATCCTCAGAATTCTCTCGAGCATCTCTTGACGACGAGAGTCTCTCATATGGCGAGACATTGTCGTTCTTGCTCACATCCAAAGAGACAAGAATCTGTCACAGTCGTTCTGGACGACCGAAAGACATTTTAGGATGCTACTAGTGGCTCCTGGCCTTACTACTAGGAACAATGTTTATTAGAAACAAGAAATAAATAGAATTAACAAGAAGCTACTAGGGGCTCCTGGCCATACTATTAACAAGAAGCTACTAGTAAGAAGGGCACTACTAGGAGCGATCGGACGCATAGCATTATACTAAAAATTATTTTCTTTCGACGCTCTTTAAGCTGTGAGCACCGAAGTATCATATCGGCTCTTTGAGCCACAGACGGTGAGCACCAAAGGTGCGTATCGTCTTCGTCTCACACGTTTCACCGAGTGGACGGAACGGGGAAAGGGCTGGGACCAGCAGCTGGGATTGGACAGAACTTGAGAGAACACGATGCCTGGGTTCCTAGTAATGCCCTTTGTTCCGTTCGTAGCTTCCTTGTTCCTAGTAGTAAGGCCAGGAGCCCCTAGTAGCGTCCTTGTTCCTAGTAGTAAAGATGTGGAACCATACCGCAGTTTGTTGGTGTTGAGGGTTAGTTGAAAGGGATGTACACGTTTATGATCAAATGGTTGGTGCTTTTCGGAGAAGAAGTGACAACGTGTGCTTGTTGTTAGCTTCTGGTCGGAGTAGAGCCTTCAGAATCAGCTTGTGACATTATCCTTTGGATTTGTATGTGTCAAAGAACCAACTAAATAAAGACACTAAGACAGCGTGCATGAGGACACTCATTGCAAAGCAGCATTGCAAAGCAAAGTCAAGCAAACAAAGATGCTGAACAAGCAGCAGTAGAACTTACAAAACAAGAGAACAAGTCTGCAACACGACGAAGGCATTTTTCTGCATCAGATCACAGAAGGGTGTTATGAAGCGAATGGTATGGGCTGGATTCCTTCCGCAGCTTGTATAAAACATGAGTCTCGAGGTGAAAGGTATATAGTGTTTGGTATGAAGTGAAACCGAGAAGGTGATGAAAAGGCGACAAGTGCCCCGGGACTAATGTTTAATGCTCCAGACCTTTCCATTCTCGTTGATTGTTTGGAGCTTGTTTAAACCGATGGTGACCTGGTGACTTGTTTGCTACTAGGAGCAAGGATGCTACTAGGGGCTCCTGGCCTTACTACCAGGAGCAGGGATGCTACGAACGGAGCCTCTGAAGCACATACAACACGTGCAGCGACATGAAGCTGTCGCCCGGCCATGGCTCCTTCATGGCGCCGCGTGGCGTGCCGCGCGCCGTCGTGCGTGCACCACGCGGTGTGGCGTTCGGAACAGCAGAGGATTCTGACGTTTGTCCGGACTTTTTCAGGCGAAGCTACGGGTGTCGACAATCGTGAAGGAATCGACATGAGCGCATACAAACCGTGGAGCACCTATATAAGGAAATGTGTGGCAACTACCCACCCCTTGCCAAGAGTGCTTCAAAGAAGGCCTTTTTGCACTTTTGAGTGCCCACAAAATGTGTCGAACAGAAGACATTGACACTAAATATTATAGTTATAAATAGGTTGGAGGTCATGGCCTCTAGACTCTAATAGATACATTAGATACATCAAAGTTCTCAGAAAACTGCAGAACCTTTGCAGATTGGGTCATCCCGTCTGGAAGACCCTCAAGGTGTGAACTCACCTGGCCTATGTGGCTGCCTTTTCGAACTTCGCTTCAGAAGTGATTGAAAAAATGATTAACACTAAAATTTGAAAACTGGTGATGTCCTAAAAACTTTTAGATTTTGCAATGTGTTCTTTGGTTGTGTAGAAAATGTTGGCCAAAAATCATTGCTTCGAATGCGGGCAATCCAACGATCCTACAGATGAAAAGAAGATGAGACCAAGAAAGTTTGTTGAGAAAGACAAAGATACACAAAAGAGAAACCTCATAGCGGTGGCCTCCAACCAGGAAAATCCTTTGAGAAATGGATCTAACTTCGAACCGATCGACCACGGAAAATGGATGTTTTTTCGTGAGCAAGGCGAAAGCTCCCCAGTTGCGAGCAAAAGCAGACCTCCAAGACATCCCTGGGCCATATGTGTGACTTTCGATCCGCACAGCAAAACCATGTGATCTTCGTTGTGACTTCCTCATGGGTCTCATTCCTCCTACAGTCATGACTTCTCTCACCTTGATCACTCACAGCTTGCTAAACTTTTGCACAGACCGCCACGTGAATGGCCTCCAAAGACAAAAAGAGAAAAGAAGAAAGAATGATAATGAAACGAGACAATAAAAGAAAAAGAAACCTAATAGCGATGGCCTCCAACCTACTAGGAATGGCCTCCAGATGTGTTTTGGTTCAAGCACACTGTTTGGCTTTTGGTCTCAATCCCTCACCACTACGCAAGAATGTCCCTTTCTTCTTTTCAGTTGAACACCTTCCAGGCGTAGAGCTGCCTTTCAAGTCCAGAGAGGAGGAGCGAATGGTGAAAACTACGTCTCGTGGCCATTCTCGCCGAGTCCGGAGGTTTCCATTCTCGTTCACAGTTCTCACGCTTCTTCTGGGAGGTCACTAATTAGGTTGGAGGCCGCTTTTTCTGGGATTTCAGTGTTGATTGACCATGTTCGACGATGTTTGCAATGAAGGTGATCGCGGCGCGTTTCTGTTTTTGTTCGGAGCAAAGGCTGCACGAGCTGGGAGCGAAGAGAGAGGACATGAAGCTTTCATTGAAGGCGAGGAAATCGCTTGCGCAAAGCGGACCCAAAGGAGATGTGAGAGAGGGAGAGAGGAAAAAAAGAAACAAATGAAAGACCTTTAACTTTGTTCCGAATTTATTCTTTTTACTTTTCTCGTCATTAATTTAGATTGCTTGTTAAATTTGTGTTCCTGTTTTTTACCATGTTTTCAGAGCAGAATAAAAGCTCAAAGAGAACGAGAGAGGCTGAGAGTTCAGGAAAGTACAAGTTTCTGCTAAAAAGGCATGTTTTATCGAATCTTCACCACTCGTAGAAACTTCACCACTCGGATGGTGCCGCTGAGGTGTATCATTTTCAAGAGCTCTCTCGGAGCTCCATCCGGGATGCGATCCTCGAGCGGGACGGGCGCTACGTGTCATTGAAGAAGGAGCTCAGAGAGAATGTGAAGCAACTCTCACCGGCTCAGCAACTCAACGCGTTTAGAAAAGACGATAATTACCATGACTTCAGTCGGCAAATACCAAATAAACTGTTCAGCTGCAAACATGCTCGAAAAGCAAGCCGGGTTCTTTTACATGTTGCTTTTCATGGCATGTTCACCCCCCTCGTCGTCGTCACAGTTTGGATGTTTGGGGTGTGCAAAGGTTTTCTTGTCCTCCAACCGAATAGGAAACTATACGTATAAGACCGTTCTTACTGTTCGTTTTTTCTTTGTTTCTAATAACGATGGCCTCCAACCTACTAGCGATGCTTGGTCTCAGCAGTTCCAGCAAGAATGCTGAAACCTATCGTGCGATTCAAGAAACACGGTTTCCTCGACAGGTTGGTGGCTGCAATGGTTTCCTGCGGACGTCTTAGTATCCGAGAAAAGCAGATGTGGTGGGACCTTGCGAGCCTTAGCGCAGAATCGAAAAGAAGCGTTTTCGTTTTTGAACCAATAGAAGAAGCTATTAGGAGCAAGTACATCGCTACTAGGAACAAGTGCCTTACTACTAGTAACAAGAAGCTAGTAGAAACAATGCAATATTCTGTTAAACAACAGTTTGAGTATTCTGACAGACGTGTCGAGCTAAGGCGAGCGGTAGAGCACCACACTGTGAAAACTAAAAGTGGCATGCCTGGCTTGCAGCACTCGCAGATTTCATTGGTGTTGCATGCTTTGGGAAAAGCCAATGTGAAGATCAAGGAACGTCCCTTGTCACGAAGCCGGCTCATCCCTGCTAGTTCAGGTCAGAGTCGACTCGCTTGCTTGCCTCACGTGATACCTGCAAGTTGCCATTAGGCGGTCGTGTAAATTGATTGTGAACAAATTCCGTTGAAACAAAAGACATTGACCAGTTCCAGTCATATAATAGTACCTCTGAACATGTGTAAAATGCAAAGGCTGCACGACTGCAAAGTATGCCAACATGTGGAAGTGTGAAGAAAATGCAAAGTACATCTCAATGAGACCTCAGATTGAGTGTGTCATTATTTTTGCTTGGCTTGCCTTCTTTGTGCGATGTTTTTTTTCGCCGCATATGTCCACGGCCTTTAAATCTGCTTGTAGTTTTTGTGTTTTTGACTCAGGGAGGAGAGTACATTGTTGCAAGAGAAAGGGGTAGTTAAAGTGACCAAAGATGACCTAAGGCCTTTAGTGCAATTTTTGGAGGTTCTTGTTAGTTTGGCCCGGGACCCCAGGCCATCTCAGGCCTTACAAATAGGAATATGTAGAAATTCGACACTTCGCACACTTTCCTCAGGGACGCTCGTGTGCCTCCCTCGCTTCCCTCGGTCGAACGGCGAAGCTACCGGGCACGACCGGGCCTTGGACACTTTCCCTTGTAGATAGTGTTGCCATACGCCAGTCTCGACACATTCTGACCTCAGTCATGGATTTGGATTTACCTAAAGGAACATAACCAACGATTAAAAGAAGTGTCTTGTCCTTTTTGCTTGCTATCTATATATTGTTTTTGTAGAATAGAAAAGCAAACAGTGAAGCGGAAAAAACAGACAATGCAAAGTTGAAACAATTTCCAGTCGACCGACGGTCGCCTTTATAAAAGGTAGGTCACTGACGACGGCCGCAATGACTTGGAGAAACGGATCACTGAGTTGTTCAGTTTGCTTTAGACTCCAGTACTCACAGTGTGACTCACAGTACGCACATTCATAGTGCTCAGTCATAAACACTTTACATTTCTTTGATGAAACCGTACCTCAGAGCAGCTTGAAGCCACTTGAGGCTTCTATTACCGCATGCTCAAGTTGTTAATCCAAAATGCAGAGATTTGGACTGAGTTTGATATGGCTTGGCATCTTGCCTCATTTGGACAAAGTGTAAAGCGCACGCACTGATTTGGTTCCGTTCGTAGCGCCCTTGCTCCGTTCGTAGGAAGGCCAGGAGCCCCTAGTAGCGTCTTTGCTCCTAGTAGCGATGCCAGGAGCCCCGAACGTAGCTTCTAGCCCCTAGAGAGTTGGTTCCTAGATTTTTAGGGAGACTTAACTACTAGCAACGGCCTCCACCCTAAGAGTGATGGCCTCCAACCTAGTACCAATGGCCTCCAGCCTACTAACGATGGCAAACACTAAGATTTTTGAACAAGATGAAGCACTTAAGCACATTTGTACACTTCTCAGGATACTCTATGGGATGCGGAAAAGGCGCTTGCGGCCATGCAACTTCGAGAAGAAAGAGCACCAACTGTGGGCACAAGTTCTTCGGATTGTGGCTGCATTCTTCCGGCAGAAGCTGCACTTCATATCTCCCAAAGGCATTGTTTGCATCCTCTATGAGTTTGCTCATCATGGTATTTTTCCAGGAGTTCCACTAGAGTTTTCGACATACCGCGGCTCTTGTCTCCAGCGTTCTCTTCTCTCTACCTGGGTGTTTTTTTTTCTTTAAATCTGGCTGCCTTCCTCCTTCCACAACTCGTATTCTTTGTCTTATTCTTGAAACATCAAACGTCATTGCCAAGACCCGCCTAAAAGGGAGGAGGGCTACTAGGAGCAAAGCGCCACGCTACTAGGGGCTCCTGGCCTTACTACTAGTAGCAAGAAGCTCTTAGAAACAAGAATTCAATAGAATTAGAATTAAAACTATTCAAAATCTAAATAGAATTCAATTAGAAATCAATCAAGAAGCTACTTAAGTAGCATGAGTTCTGTACCAAGGCTTACGGCATTCCACTCAGCGTTGCCTGCGCCTAAGACCTACAACGCAGGTGCTTTCCTATACCTCCTCTACCGACTCCTGTACCTCCTACTACGGAGTTTGTCTTTTTTCTAGATGCAATGCATGCCTATAAATGAGCACGTGTTTTTTTAATAAGAGCATACCCGGTACGGTACCCTGGTCCTCCTACCTTCCCAGATGTTGAGATGATTCACTAATTTACGTGCTGTTCGTTGTGTTTTAAATACGAAAGAAAAAGAAGAGAAAATAAAAGGGAGAACTGTTCTGTGTTTTTCTTTGTTTTTCATGGTCCTTTGTGTGTTTTTGTTATTCTTCGCTCTTAAGCCGTTCGTCAGGAGGCTTCACGCTCTTCCGCGCGACCCGGCGGATCCGACGAAACCTTGACACCTTGAACCAGCGAGCGCTGCTGTGGCTTGCCGTCCTCTTGGCACGCCACCAGACGAAAGGAGTGAAAAAGGAAGAAGGGGAAACGGGTCTAAAAGCTTAAAGAGAGAATCCGATGAGGATGATATCTCATCATAATAGTTCTTGTCTTTAATATTTTCTGGAGTATGTTCACTGATGCGTTGCTTGGCAGGATTTTGACTCACCCTTCTAGCACATGTTCACTAGCCCTCACTAGTCGTCGCCCACCTGACGAGAAGAAGCTAGCTTTATGTCCTCTAACAGAAAGCATTGTTCCCTACCTCAATGCATTTGCTTCCAACGTCGAGCTTCTTCATCCTTCCTTTGCCTCCCACGCCCTTCGGTCCTTTCCAGTTGAAGGGACCTTCCAAGAAAGTGCGAAGCATACAATGTATTTGATGTTCAATTGAAGGGGTTGTCCGTGCTTTTGCAATCCGGAAGGACATGTTCACGTAGAAGCTGAATAGACGTACCATCAAGCAGAACGATTGTTTAGTCATAGTTGGTACGACTAAGGGCTGTTGTTTTTTTCGCTTTTTGTGATCATGCTTAAATATGTTCCTCTTTGAATGAATCGGGCCTTTCTGGGCAATCTGATTTCGCTCGTACTTCCGAGATGCGTTATTCTCTGCGTAGAAACAATAGTCAACTTAGACTTAGAGGCTGATGATTTGTTTGTTTCCTTAGAGTCCTTAGAATTAGAAGACGGAATGTTTGGGAGAATCATGGAGAATCGTGTCGTTGGATTCGTCTGGAATGCTGTAGCAATGGCCTCGGCCTCCAACCTAGCGACGGACTCCATGGGGCCAGAGGTTGTTTTGCTCTTTTCCAAAGCGCTTTGGTGGAAGATGGGAAACCGTAGCCGAAGGCTTCGATTGGCCAGAACTACGGCTCTTGAAGAAGTACAGCGCTGAACTTCGACAAGCGCACAGGGTCGCGCGCATGCATCCTCAAAACATGGTGGTGATACTTCACGCTTATGCCAGGCCTGATGTTACTGATGTTATCATCTCCGATCGTTTTGGGAAAGAACTGATGAATTGGGGGGGGCAGCGAACATTGCTCCGTTCGTAGTGCCAGCACCTTTGGCAAGCGTCCGATGTCCGGAGTTGTTCTGAATTCAAGTGCATCGCTACTAGTAACAAGTGCCTTACTAGTAACAATAAGAATTCTAATTAGAATTGTAATTACTAGCTAGCAAAGGAATCTAATTAAAATTTATAGATTAGTTTTAATTCTAATTCCAATTCTTGTTTCTGCTTCTTGCTTCTAGTAGCGATGCCCTTTGCTCCTAGTAGCGAGGCCAGGAGCCCCTTTGGCAAGCGTCCCATGTCCAGAGTTTTTTCCAGGCTGGGCATTCGGGATGTGGAGTTGTTGAAGGTGTTCACCTTTGAGCTCATGAAGGCCAACAAGGAGTCCCTGGACGCTTGGAAGTAGAAAGTTTTTCTCTATGTTCTTCTCCGCACCACTTCTGACATGTTACAAAGTTTCATCTTGTGTCCATGGCCGTCGCTACTAAGTTGGAGGCCATCGCTATAGTCAAGCTTCCCTAAAATTCTAGGAACCAAATTAAATCTACTAGGGGCTAGAAGCTACTAGGGGCTCCTGGCATCGCTACTAGGAGCAAAGATGCTACTAGGGGCTCCTGGCCTTACTACTAGGAGCAATGTTCGCTACTTCAAGGAAGCTCCCCCCCTCGGCCGCCTTTAGGGTGGCGGGAGCGTCCTTGAAGAAGCGTGAGCTATCCTGCGTCCATTCATACTAGTAGCTTAAGTAAGCTACTAGCTACTACTAGCTACTACTAGCTACCTACCTCTAGCTACTAGCTGCCTCTCCCGGCCCTAGCCAATCTGTTGCTTGACGCCCCGGGAAAGAGCCCGAGGGCGGCAAGTATTTCACGATGCTGGCGTATTCCCTTGGAAAGTTGGGAGTCCGTGGCCCTTTGTGGAAGGACGACGACGATCGGAGGGAAAGGAGTGAAAGGAGTGACTCTTCGCTATTTCTTCTACTTTTAGTTTTATGACTGCGTACGTAATTACATTTTCTCAAGAAAGCATAGTGGGATGGTGTTTAGGTCTTTGCCAAGCGCTAATTAATGCTTGTCGTATCTATGCTGCACGGGTGTATCTTTCTTGTGTGGAACACTAAGAGGTTCTTACTGTGCAAATGATGCCTTGATGGTCGCCCAACTGGGGCACGGTCGGAAGTGCACAATCCTTCGTCGTAGAATCGGATTGTCGTTCGGGCTCAGATTCTATGCCAGGCATAACAAGAAGCTACTAGGTTGGAGGCCATTACTACTAGCAACAAGGTTCGCTACTAGTAACAAGGCACCTTACTAGTAGTAACAAGAAGCTACTAATGCCAGGCACAGCGATAGGTGTGAATTCTCCAAATGTGATCTCGAAATGTCGACAGCCAAGAATGGACTGTGTGCGCTTGTTGTCTACTAGTGTGTTTGTTCCTAGTAGCGATGCCCCTTGTTACTAGTAGCTTCTAATTACTAGTAGTACGGCCAGGAGCTACTAGTATCTTCTAGCTACGTGCACGTGCTTTTCCATTCATTCAAACCTGACGCTGGAAAAGGGCAGGCTAGAGTTGCCGAAGCCCGTACCCTTGGTATTTGTCATGTCTTTTTCCCTTGCATCTGAACATGCGTTCCTGGTGCTTGAAAGACGTCCTTAAACAGCAGAATGCCGCGAATGCTCTTTTTGCTTCAAGAAACACCATTACTTTTAATTCTATATATTGTTTCTACTAGCTTCTTGCTCCTAGTAGTAAGGCCAGGAGCCCCTAGTAGCGTTCTTGTTCCTTGTAGCGTCCTTGTTACTACTAGCAAGGCACTTGTTACTAGAAGCGATGCACTCGTTACTAATAGCGAACATTGTTTCTAACACCAAACAAATCGGACGATTCTCAAGCCCCTCTGCCTGCCCCTCACGTGCCCTCCTGCCCTCACCTTTGCGCGCCGGCTCGGCCGAAGGGAGCGTTCCGCCTCGGTCGGTGGAACCTCTTCGCGGTTCGTGACCAAGAGCGTGCGAAGATGCAATTGAAACAAAGAGAAACGCACAGGTTCGTTTTGGGCCTTCGGTCTTTGCTTCTCTTTTTGCTTTTGTTGCACTGAAATTTAGATGTCTGTGTTTTTTTGAGACATGCCTTTTTGTTGTGTTTCAATCCTGTTCTCAACTATCCTGTTTTTTTTCTTGCCTCATTATCTGTGTTCGTTGGCACAAAGCAAGCCTTTGTGGCTAAAACGGTGAGCGAGAGTTTGAACATTCGAACACTTCTACAGAAGTTCTGATCGTGACAAACCCCAACGATGATGACACCGAATACCACCTTATCCTCCAGCTGCGGCTACAAGTACTGCTACTACTACGACTCCTCCTGCTTTTGCTATGACAACTTCTTCTGACTCACCGGTTTTTGCTTCCGGTGTCCCTTCCACCTTACACAACAGAAGGTTGTGTTGTTTTTTTCCCACTCTACAGCCCAATCTTCACCGGTCGCGTCGCCGTTATGTGTCGAGGAGCTTTCGGAGGGATTGAGCGAGAAGATCGATTTTCTTGCGCCGCTGGACTTGGCATTGTGCCTTGGCCGGCCGGACTCAGGGCGGAGCGATCAGACGCTACTAGGGGCTCCTGGCCATACTACTAGTAACAAGAAGCTACTAGGGGCTCCTGGCCTTACTACTAGGAGCAAGGACGCGAACTATGGACAATAGCGAGTAGGCCCATCAATGTAACGTGACGTATGTGTATGTAAACTCGGACAGCGCTTTACCAAACAAACCATGTCCAAATCTTGGATTTGTACATCATGTAACTGATGCGAAGGAGTTTAGCTTGTGAGAGACACCGACGTTTACCTTTGGTCTTTAGAAACAAAAAGTTGTGCAAAATAGCAAAAGAATTTCAATTATTTCGGAATGCTCTTTGGGGCCTTTCTGGAGAATAGAAGGAATCGACGAGGTCGTTTTTCTGGGCTGAAGTTCAAGTTCAAAGACGGTTTAACACTGTGCACGCAGGTAGGTCCCGCGCTAGGTGTTTTTTGATTTGAATGTTTTAAATGCCGCTCTGCCCCCCAACCTAATAGTGATGGCCTCCAACCTAGTAGCTTCTTGCTACTAGTAGCAATGGCCTCCAACCTACTAGCGATGGCCACCAGTAGTCCTTGCTCCTAGTAGCGTCCTTGCTCCTAGTAGTAAGGCCAGGAGCCCCTAGCAGCTTCCTTGCTCCTAATGGCGATGCACTTCACTACTAGTTCAGCTAAAATCGCTCAAATCGAGTAGCCTTGCCTCGTAGCCTCGCCTCACACATCCGGACGAGTTTCTTTGCTTGCAGAGGCACTTGCTACTGGTAGCGATGCACTTGTTCCTAATAGCGAGGCACTTGTTTCTAATAGCGTTGACGAAAACTCCGACTTCACAAATTACGCATTTGTGAAGACCCGCAGATAATCATTGCATTCAGTAGTAACAAGTGCCTCGCTAGTAGTAACAGGTGCCTTACTAGTAGTAACAAAAAGCTATTAGAATTAAGTTAAAATTAATAGCTTCTTGTTACTACCAGTAAGTCACTTGTTACTAGAAGCGAGGCACTTGTTCCTAGTAGCTTATTGTTTTTGACATCAAGGCCTTGTCTCATGCTGAGTCCTTGAAACTTCACATTCTTAGCATCTCTAAGGATTGCGCATAGCTTTGGCAAGGCGAAGCCTGATTGCATCCACTGAATACACGTTCAGCTGAAAAGCTGATAGTCTCTAACTGTGCACAGGTCCTTGCAGTGTTCCAACACGAGATTTATGTTCTGCCTGAAAATCCATTATGGTCAAAGGCTTTGAGACAGGGTGTTGGCGACAGTAAAGGATAGCAAAAGGCCAACGGGCCAGACATGGTTCAAAGAAGTAGCAGGAAGAAGGAGTAGGAAGAACAGTAGTCGTCGTCCTAGTGTTATTGGTAGTGGTAGGCACAATATTGGCTGCTTTGCATTCCAAAGAGAAGGCCTTGAAGGAGAGAGGTCTTGCCAGCACAAGCATGTGGTTTGCTTGCATGAAATTGATTGGACCATTGCACACCATCGCATCATTCACAGTGGCAACAATTGCAGAGTCTCAGACTATGCAAGGTTGGAGGCCATCGCTATTAGGAACAAGAAGCTACGTTCAGGGCTCCTGGCCTTGCTACTAGGAGCAAGGACGCTACTAGGGGCTCCTGGCATCGCTACGAACGAAGCAAGAAGGCTGGTAGCAACAAGAAGCTACTAGGGGCTCCTGGCCTCACTACTAGTAACAAAAAGGCTATTAGGTTGGAGGCCATGCGAGATTTGTTTGTGCTTTTTCGCCACGTTCAATGCCAGGTGGCCGTCCGTGACTTGGTTTGATCCGCCGATGCTGTGGTGGTTCCTTGTGGTTTTGAAAGAAAGGACAATTCTAATTTAATTCTTGTTTCTAGTAGCTTCTTGCTACTACTAGTAAGGCACTTGTTACTAGAAGCGATGCACTTGTTCCTAGTAGCTTATT